ACATTCCCTTCTTAGTTAAGCTTTTATTGATAAACATGAATAAGAAATTACAACAAGTTTTCTTTACTCTGTAATTTTGTTTATTTCACCAACAACATTCCTTGCGTAACATACTCAGTACAGCAACTATGGGCTAGTTTAAAAGCATCATGCTGCTAGACAAACTCTGTTAAAAAAACAAAACAAAAAGCTCTCTTTCTGATTATTTTTGTAACTAAACAGTGAATATGTCAGTCTCTATTAAATAATTAGGACCACATTGAGATGAATTCACTCTGTGAACTGAAAATAATAATAACTTAAAGAGAATAAAACCAAATAACAGGTTTGAAAATAAGCAACTTGGTCTGAATATTGACAGCTCAGAAATCATTCATGTTTTGGTTTATATTAAAGCTGTCCTAGGTTATCACATCAAGATAAAACCAACCATTGATTTGCACTATTGATTTCTTTCCATTTGGATATTCATTTTAAAATGAAAGTAGTTTGTATGTTTTTGCAAAAGCAGCTTGGAGAACTCAGTGTATTTAAATTTGAATATCTTTCTTGTTCATAATTGCCTTTTAAGTTAACATGTATAACTCAAGCAGCTGCTTATAAACAAAAAAAATTATGCAAAGAGATTTAAGTTGAAATGTTTCTCATGAAAATAAATAACCAAAGTCTCTGCACAAAGACATCATTTACTCAAAGTGTTTAAAAGAACACTGAAGGGTGGAATTGGCTTCTAAAGATAATGCACTAAGAGGATTAAATTACTACAGTACCTTGGTTTAGTAGATGTTAACTTATAAACCTCATTTTTGGCCATTTTTGGTTCAATGGTTATTATAATTGCCAAGAAAGTTACTTCAAGTTACTCACCTTTAATGACAGCTTGTTGTTTTTTTTTTGTTCTGACAGTTACATTTCTAAGACATGGATTCCCATATTTCTAAAGAAAAACTGAGAAGTAAGATTGAAACAACTTATGGAAGAAAGATATTAGATCTCACAGGGTGGAATTTGCTTGAGTTGCCAGAAGCTGCGCTGGAATTAACTGAGTTGGAGAAATTTAATCTGTCAAGGAATAAACTTAAAAAAATACCTGAAAATGTTGGAAAACTAAATAATATTATGGTACTTCTTGTAAGTGGAAACCAGCTGTCCATATTCCCTGCAAGTTTGACACAGCTGAAGAAACTTGAATGGCTAGACATCTCGCGTAACAAACTAACTACCATCCCTGATGCTATTGGTGAGATGGTGGGGCTGGAAGTACTGGGTCTGAGTTACAACCAGCTGACTGTGTTGAGTCCAGCAATAAAACAGCTGAAGAAACTCAAATGGCTGGACATCTCACATAACAAACTAACCACTATTCCTGATGCTATTGGTGAGATAGTGGGATTGTGGAGACTGGATCTGAGTTGCAACCAGTTGACTGTGTTGAGTCTAGCTATAACACAGCTGAAGAAACTCATAGAGCTGAACATCTCATTTAACAAACTAACCA